AGTTGCAGCAAGGTTTAGGTTAGATATTAGGAAGAACTTTCTCATGACAGAGGTAGTGAAGCACTGGAACAGGTTACCCAGAGAAGTTGTGGAATCTCCATCCTTGAAGGTTTTTAAGGCCTGGCTAGACAAAGCCTTGGCTGGGATGATCTATTGTGGACAGTCCTGCTTTGAGCAGGGCCTTGGACTAGATGATCTCCTGAGGTTCCTTCCAGCCCTAATTTTCAATGATTCTGTGGGGAGAACAGTGGATATGATATACCCTGACTTTAGCAAGGCTTTTGACACCAGCTACCATGACATTCTCATTAACTAAAGTGAAGGAAATACAGACTAGATGAAGGTAATCTAAGGCAGATAGCTACATAGCTGGTTTGATCATCATGCTCAATAGTCATCAATTGATGAATAGTCATCAATGGTGCAAAGTCTAGTGGTGAGGAGGCATCAAATGGAGTTACCCAGAGATCTGTCCTGGGTCTGATACTGTTAAACATCTCTATTAATGAGATGGATGATGGAACTGAGTGCACATTTAGCAAATTGATGGATGACACTAAGTTGGGTGGAGTTGCAGATGCTTTGGAGGGCAGGGCAGGATCCAGAATGACCTGGATAGACTGGAAAAATGGTCTACAATCAATGAGATGAGATTCAACAAGGGCAAGGGCAAAGTCCTGCACTTGGGACAGAATAATTGCATGCACAAATACAGACCAAGGAATGACTGGCTAGGCTGTTGTACTGAAGAGAAGGACCTGAGGGGTTACAGTAGAGCATAAACTGAATAAGCCAACAGTCTGCTCGTTGCCCCCAGAAGAGCCAACAGCATACTGTGTTTTAGCATGAGCATCTCACACAAATCAAGGGAAATGATTCTTCCAATCTATTTGGCACTGGTGAGGCATCACCTGCCATACTACGTCCAGTTTTGGGCCCAACATTTCAAGAAGGATGACGACAGATTTGTAAGAATCCCACATAGTGACAAAATTGCTTACAGGCCTCGGAAACAAGACTTATGAGGAAAGACTGAAAGAACTAGTCATTCAATTTGGAGAAGAGAAGACTAAGGGCGGGATTTGATAGCAGTCTTCAAATACCTGGAAAACATTTATAGAGAGGATAGAGTGGTCTTTTCTCTGTGGCTATTGGGGACAAGACTTTGAGTGATGGACTCAAGCTTTAGAAGAGGCAATTTAGGGTGGAGATTAGGAGAACATTTCTGGCTATGACTGTGGTCAAGCATTGGAACAGGATACATATAGAAGTTGTGGATTTTCCATCCCTGAAAATTTTCAAGAACAGGTTTGAATGACACTTGTTTTGGGTGATTTAATCAGTGATGATCCTGCTTTGAGTAGGGGGCTGGACAAGATGACCTTATGAGGTTCCTTCCAGCCAATTTTCCTATGATTTATAAGGTACACAGCACAAGAGTTTGGGCCTCAGTTCTCCATTATGATCAAGGTGTGTTCAGGTATACTGGGAAGTGGCAGTTGTACTAGGAAGCCAGCAGAGCCCTGTTGCTTCCAACTGTTCAACTACAAAGTGGCCTGTGCAATGGACAAGCAGGTATGGTGGAGCTCACCTATTGCCTCCATTAACAGTGCAGGGTTGGGGAGGCAGACAGCTGGCATAGAATATATCTGCACTGTTGTCACAAGCAGAGCATTCCTCTTGCACAAAAATCCTTTGAAGGGGCTAAGGGGAGCATAATATATTGCCAACTAGCTTAAATTAGTTTTATGTCACACGCACAGGCCTTCCTGAAAATGTTCTGAATACACCGTGTTCAGATAGGTGGTTAGTCTTTTTATTCTAAGGTTAGAAAGTAGGGCAGGGTGGCACCTTAGGCCTCTGGCACAGTTACTGTGCAATTGTGTTAATCACATCATAAGTAGTAAGTGTTACACCTTAAATCTATTAATGGCACCATAAAGTGGCAAACCAAACACAAAGTTATTCCAAAAAAGTGTAGAACATCTTTGTAGCTCATTTGGACGGCACTGTAAATTGAATGTGTACCACTCCCATGCCAATGACGACAATCAGCTGATAGGGCAGGGCCGGGCAAAATACGGCAATTCTGTCCAGCCCCTAAAAAATTTAGAAAATGAATATTTACTTGCCCCAGCTCCCTGTCAAAGCTGGCTGGAGTCAGGGGCAGTAGGACTCAGAGGGAGCCCTCAGCAGGCTTGAGCAGCCCAGCCCCACCCCTCCCCAGCCAGTTTCCTGCTTTCCTGCCCCTGCCTCTGCCCTGCTCCAGCACCACTGGCTGTGGCTCCCGGCTGCGGCTCCCGGCTGCATCCCCAGATTGTGGAGCATGGGACTGCACTTGGAGGGGTGTGTATGTGTGCACGCATGCGCATCTACAGGTACAGGGGCAGTGTGTGTGTGTTCATAGGGTAAATCCCACACACGCACCCCTCCATTCACATGCACCTATGCCTCCCCTTGCACTGCCATATACAAACCCCAGCCACCCTCCCCCC